AAACGGTTGGAAAACGAGCACAAATAAAGATGTGGAGAATAAGGATTTGTTTGTTCGCATGATGAAATTGATTAGGGCGAGACCGGGGAGAGTTTCGATGGTAATGTCCTTGAAATCTAATTATCATGCATTCTAAAGTCAGGAATCTAATAATTTTCTATTAATAAAACGTCTAGTTGTATGTTCCGGGACATGCTGGTGTAGATGGCAATGAGGCAGCCGATAGGTTAGCGAATGTGGGGGCGTTGAAAGAAGAGGTTTTTGATGATCACAGCTATGAAGTGAATGTATACTTGTAATTTGAGTAATGATTTCAGTAATCTTTTTTAATATTTACGAATTCAATCTAGATTTTGATTAAGTTGATTATAACAATTCTTGTAAAAATGATTTCAATCCTAAATATTAATCATCAAATGTAATAAATTATGAAATATCAAGTGATAGAACAATTTTTACATAATGTTTGAGTATCAAATAAAATTATATTATAATTTTATTAAATTATCCTAAGATCTCGTAATTGATTTTTTATTATATTTAAATATAAAAATAATAAGTTACTTCTATATTTAAACCATAATTAATTATTATATAATAAGAAAGATTTAAAAATTTTATACTTTTAAATACGGTACATTATTTTACAGTATATTATATTTTAATGATATATTTATGTTTATATATTATAATATTTTAAATAATTATGATATAATAATTTATTAAATTGTAACAGTGGTAGAAAGTTTAATAAAAGCCTCATATAAAACAATAATATTAATTTATTTTAAAATATTTATTTCTTAAATACTTTTATTAAAATTATTTTATTTTTAAAAATAAATTTAATATATTTAACAAATTAAGATAATAATCATAATATTTCCAAAAGTAAATTGTTCCACACTGTATATAATTAAATGACAAGTTTTTTTTAGCTTGAATTGTTTATCTGTCCTCGGACAAAATGGTTTATTGTTGCAATTAAACTATGAACCATTGATACTTTAACACTTGTGAGCAAATAAAATGCAGTAATTTGATCGCCGGTGCCACATAGTTTTTTCTGCTCGACAAGTATAATATTCATTTCACTTTTCTCTCTTTAAAAAAATATATATAAAAAAAAAAAAAAAATCTTTTAACATGCAACGTTCCAAGTCCCATAACGCTCCAGCTCGTACTCCATCTGACAATGTCAGTCAACGTGTTGGAAACAATAATAATCTTAATAACAATGCTACCTCTGTAATGAACTCTAATAACGCTAATGGTTCCACTATAGTTAACACCGAGTCACAGCAACTGAAAGGTCTTGAATGGGTACTTGGACTTTCGATCAAAGTAAAGACTTTGAATGATGACGAGTATGAAGGGGAGATTTATGCTTACGATCCAAAGACGAACTGCGTTGTACTTCATATCCTATTCTTTATTTGCTCTACTTTTTTTTTTTATTAGATCTCATTCATGTAATTACCTTAATTTGCGTATATTTATTTCCGGCATAAACAATGCCCTTCAAGCAATAATTCCGGAAATCCTCCAAAATATGACTTTCGGATTCTGAAAATCAGCTTCCTTAGAGATGTAGTTCAGTTGCCCAACCGTAAACCTTCAATCGATGGTAATTCAAACACTGCTACCAATAGTACATCTACAAACAGCACATCAACGAATGGTCAAAATACAAGTGCATCTGTTTTTTCGACGGCAGTTCCTTTAGTGGGTTATGTACAAACGGATAGACTTCAATCAAGGGAATTGCAATCGGTGAAAGAGACACAAAGTGCATTGGCCAGAATTGGGGTGGGTGTGACACAGGAAGCTCAAGATATTTTTGATGCGCTGAGTAAAACGTATGTATACCATTTTTATCTGCACGTTTTTCACCACTTCCGATTTAATAGTTTGTAATATTCTTATTTAGATTGCCATGCCGATGGTCTAAAGATTCAATTGTAGTCCTAGATGAAGTTATTATTGGACCACCGTATGATATAGAAAACTGTAAGGCAAATTCTGGCGCATCAGGTTCGCTGGCGAGGGTCAAAAAAGTGGTACGTTATATTATTTGAAATTGTACCGCGAATAAATTTTGATCTGATCTTTGCAAATTCATTCCAGCTGGAAGGAGAAAAAAGAAGGCTAGCGAACATAAGAAAATAAAAAACAATGTAAGGTTTCTATTGTTATGATTTCAAAAAAGAGGTAGTGATTCGATTGTTCAACTTCTTTTATTTAGGTTGTAAAAATTACAATTTATGTCTATTAATGAACGGTGAAGCGGAATGTCATAATAAAAACTCTTGAAATAATTTACTCTATCCAGAAAAAAAAATTTTTTTTAAAAAAAATTCCAAATGGAATCATTGGACAATTTTTCACTTGGAAATAAAATTCATTTATTTATTTACTTCCTATGAAAGCAAATATCGGAAAATAATTGGGGGAACATCGACCTGTATCTTATTATTGTCTTGCCATACTTTAAATATCTCCCATTAGCATTTAGCTTTAAGTCAACATGTAGTATAATATTTTATTTTATTTCATTGAAAATTTGTCAAATAAGAAGCATAATTCGTGAATCTGATGGATTAAAGATATCGATTCTCAATATTATAATGAACAAGTATGTTATCAATCCTAGTTATCGAATGTTTGCTTATAAAATTAACACACAATCTCAGAAAAAAATGAGACAATAATTTAAACGCAAATTTTTCAATAGAAAATATATTTTAATTTAAGGTTTTGAAAAAAAATATGCTCTAGGTACGTGGTTGTATTTTTCAAACCATTCTCAAACTACAAATATTAATAATTAAACTCTTAAATCAATGAGAAATATAAAATAATTAATAAAAATACATATAAGTATAATTTTTGATTTTAAAAATCATTATATTATAATTTATTAAGCTTTTTACAAAAAAAAATTATAAATAAATTAATCTTTTTTTATTTTTATAAATATTTTAAATAATAAATTTATTATAAGATATTGATTATAAATTTTTAATATACAGTATATATAGTTTGTCTAAAAAGTCTTTAAACAAATTTTTAATTTAATTTATATTCATAATTCAATAACTACTTAATAAAATAAAAAAAAAATTTGAATATATATTAATAACAATATAAAAAACATATTTATTTAATAGATTTTTATTATTATATTATTGAAATTCATTAAAAATTAATTAATAATCAAAAAAAAATTTTTTTTTAAAGTATTAATTTAATTAACTTATAATAAATAAACAAATAATATATAATAATTTGATTTATTGATTTGTAAAATAAAATCAAAATTAAGTAAAAAATAACTTTTAATTAATTTTAAATTAAATAAATTAATCTAAAATTTAATAAAAAATATATAATTTTTTAAAGATTTATATTAAAATCAAAATTTTAAAATTTTTTAAAACTAATTTTATAAAATAAAAACTAAGAAAATTTTATAAAAACAAAAAACATTTTATAATTTTTTTTATTAATTAAATAATTTTTTTTTAATTTTTATAAACAATTTTTTTAAAAAATTTTTATATAGTGAAAATTATTTTTCTAATCAAAAATTTATTAATAAAGTATTAAAAAAAAACTTGATATTTTATTTTTTATATTTTAAAAAAAATATTTTTTTTTCATATAATCAAATAAATATATATATTTATTTTATTTTATTTTTTTTAAAGCAAAACACATTACATACGAGAATTTTTATTAATTACTTAGAATTAATTATATCATTACATGAAAGATCTGACTAACTATTTAGCTAATCTAAT